TCTGACTCAAAAAAAAAAAAAAAGAAATCTGCTGGACTGAGTCTTAAGTGTACCCTTGAACTCAGAATTGGGCCAGCCTTGCGGGAACCACCAGATCTGAGAGCTGGGGAGGGGAGTCCATTACTGGGAGAAAGGAAATGGATCCTGGGCATGCAAGAGCGGCACACGGCCTCTTTGCAGGGGGAATGGATTTCCAGGCAGAGGAGACGGCATGGGCAAAGGCCCAGAGGCAGGAAATGGCTTGGATTGTTTGGTGTCAGACTTGAAGCTTGGACTAGGAAGGCAAGATGGCCGGGAGATGGGCTGGGTCCAGACCACAAAATCATAGGTCAGAAGATTTGGACTGTGTCCCAAGAGCAATCAGATTCAAGCTGGAAAGTGAGATAAGCATATTTGCAGTTTAGAAGGAGTTCCTGCAGGAAGATGTATTTGAGGGAGGAAGAGCGGCTGCAGGGAGACCACGAGGCAATTGCTTAAGAGGGCTTGACCCTGGGTGGTGGCAGTGGGCTTGGAGAGAAGGAAACGCAGGTGGATGCAGTGTCTGCAGAGGCTCAGAGGGTGGAGGGGGTCTGATGGCTCAAGGCAGTAGGAGAAGTTGGATGTGGCTGTGGGGTGGGGAAATGAGTGGCAGAGGGGGAATCCCACACCTCACCTGATATGTTCTAGTCTGTCTGGCCACACTTCCTCCTGGCCTGGCCAGCCTGGAACCAGGCTGGTATCATTTCCCCAGGCTGCCCACACCCAGAGTAAAGCCCCTTCAGCAGATGTTGCCCATCAAAGTGGCTTGCTAAGTGAAAATGATGTGCATATCAGCTATGTGGACAAGAAGGGGACAAGCAGTGACTGAAAGCCCTTACCCAGCAGATGTAAGTCCCTTTCCCTCAGTTAATACTCGATGGGGGATGGGTGTTCGCATCTCCATTTTACCCACGAAGGTTGCTTAGGTCACACACCAGCAAAGTGGTGGAATAGAGCTTGAAATCTGCGCCATTTATTCATTCAATAGATATTTATGGCCGAGCAAGTTGGCTCACACCTGTAATCCCAGCACTTTGGGAGGTGGAGGCAAGAGGGTTGCCTGAGTCCAGGGGCTTGAGACCAGCCTGGGCAACTTGGTGAGACCTCGTCTCTAGAATAAATAGAAAAAATTAGCTGGATGTGGTGGCATGCACCTGTGGCTCCAGCTACTTGAAAGGCTGAAGTAGCCTGAGCCCAGCAGGTCGAGGCTGCAGTGGCCATAAGAGTACCACTACCCTCCAGCCTGGGCAACAGTGAGACTCTGACTCAAAAAACAAAAATAGATATTTTCCGAAGATTACTATGTTCCGGGCACTATTCTGGATGCTAGATATGCAACAGTGAATAAACAGATAAAAATTCCTGTCCTCAGAGTGTATATTCTGACTTGGGGTTAGGGTGGGGATGGGGAAGAATAGACAAGAAAAAAATACTTAAGGAAAATACGTAGAATACCAGATGTCAGCTCTCCTCTTGGCCACCAGAGGACACTGCAGCCACACTGCTTCATTCTCCTTTGATGACTCTTTCCTTTCTGGATTCCAAAGACAATAACCAAGGAGGCTTTGAATGCCAAGCATAGCATCTGCTCAAGAATGAAAGCTGAGGAGGAAATCGAAACAGTTCTTTCTTCCACCCACATTTCCTACTCAATTCCCTTCTGTCAACCTGGTTTGACTTCCGGTCGTCCTTGACCCTCTAGACTGAGTGCCCCAGCTCTGGGCTTCCAAAGTATTCGTGAGTGGATGGATGGAAAGGGTGGGAAGGATGGTAGATGGAAGCACAGGGAGTGGATAGGATGGATGGGTGGGCAAGAGGTCATCCAGCTGTCCAAGATGAGTCTTCAAAGCCCTGGGTACTCCAAGATCACCAGCAATCCATTCCTTCACAACCCATCCACTCCGTCTCCACTGCCCTCCTGGCCAAACCTGTCCATGTTCTCTCCTCTTTTTTTTTGAGTTGGAGTCTCACTCTGTTGCCCAGACTGGAGTGCAGTGGCCGCTCCCGGCCACCACAGCCTCGACCTGCTGGGCTCC